TAAAACTCAAATTTTAATATGTAAGGGAATTATTTCATAATCAGAGTTTAGTAAATGACATTATTTGAACTATAAATGAAATAAAAAATGAAAAAGTTAGTAAAAATATCATTGAAGAAAAAAAGAGAATTATAATGTATAAAGAAGTCATGCAATATATAATATCATGTAACTTAATTCTTAATAGATAAAGTTAGGAATAAACAAAATTATATAATGAAAGAATTTCTAGCAACACAATAAAAAATAAAAAATTCAAACTAAATTTTCATATAGGAAATACAATTATTTGAGTATAATCTCAAATTCTAAATTGAAAATAAAGTGGAATTAAATTTTAGCATCTTATCACATATTATATAAAAAAAACACTTCGGTAGATTCTAATAAGCAAAAATATTGAAAAAAGAAATATCTCTTTTCATATTTTGAATTCAAATTAATATAACTTTATTTCTATTACATGTAAAATTCTATAGGAGGAAAACTATTAAACCACAGAACAAACAATATTTACAAAAAGAGTATTAGGGATAATGAAAATTGCACAATGAATTCGCTTAAAACTAAAGTACCATAATGGTTTAATACAAAAAATTGTTATTAATAATTTTTACAATAAAGATTGTAGAATATATAATATTGTTTGTAATGAGAGCACTCACATAAATCATATTAATTTTTTGTTGTTATCTTCTTTAAATGTGTAATTTTTTTAATAATTTATTTTTTTAGTAAAATAACCGCGCATTGCGCGGGCACATATACTAGTTTATATTATAAAATAAGAAAATAAGAAAATAAGAATGAAATAAAAATAATAATATAATATTGAGGAAAGAGAAAAATATTCATTTTTAGAGAATGAAATAGAGACTTGGGTTGAAGTTGATTGTCTGAAAAAATAGAAAACTCTATATTTAGAGAGTAAAATAGAGTGTATGATTGGAGATGCCCTTACCCTATAATACAAATTCAAATTTAACAAAAAATTTCTCATGAATAATACTTTTGACTTTCAACTTTGAAGGATTACCCATGTAGCAAGGAACAGTAAAAAAAAGAAGTTCAGAACACTTGTTTTCAAGGTCAATAGATGTTTTATGACTAATATTATATAAAATAAAATGATTTATTAATTAATTATTGTTAAGTACTTAATAAAATATATTTAAAATACATATATTATGAGTCCTGACATTAGTATGTTGGAAAAAGTAAACAATCAAAAAACGTCTATGATCTAAACTTGAGTTTTGTTGGGGGTGCGAGCTTTAAATAAGTCCGTGATTCAAATTTAATTCGAACTCAATACGAATTCCAAATAAAAATAAAGGAAAAAAGAACTTGGGTTCGGAAAACCTTATGGTCAACACGTCCGATCAAGTACTGTACACTAATTCTAACAAATGTATATGAACAACGCTTGTACCCATTCGACTTTTGACAAGTGTAAAGTCATCTAAACACCATTAATTGTTAAAAA